ACGGTAGTTTACTTCAAATTGCTGGAAGATTCCTTTGTTTCCAATTGTTTTTCAAACCCAGTCCTGCATAAGATAATGTATGTCGTACTTTTAATCATTGTATTTTTTAACTGTTCTAGAGGTATAAAAAAGGTCCATTCGATAAAAAATTATGTCGCTGGTCAATTAGCCAATTAACAAACTACCTCATTTATCAGCCTTTTGATTGGACACCTTTTCATAGTATAAGCCCGCAAACGAGCAGACGGATCACCTGATGGTAAGCAATCGGCGTCACTCATGGACACCTGGATCGCCGATGGCGTTGCATGTGCGTTACCGGCCTTTTGAGATTAGGAATTTGAGAATTGTTGGGATTCAGGGATTTGGGAATGGAGGGGGGGGGAGGTAATTGGGCCTCCGGACACCTTACTCATACGACCAAACCCAACGCAAGCGTTGTTTCACCTCTGTTTTCTGTGAGGCCGTGGTATCACTCCGATTAAGCCGGCCCATTCGTGTCGAAGCATGGGTCTCACACACAAAGGCCTGAATTTTTTGTTATTGTTAAAGGGTGAGAGGTTGGTCATTAAAACCGAGATTCTACCAGAATTGGTGTAAAAAATTGTTTTTACCGCTTGAAAGTTCTGTACAGAATGCGTGCATATCTCAGCGAGGATTTACGAGTGCAGCTGGCCGAAGCTTTGGTTTTGTCGAAATTAAATTACGCGGATACAGTAATTGGCTCTAGACTCTTATCACGAACAAAGAGGCTGATTCAACGGGTTCAAAACGCATGTGCCCGTTTTTGCTTTAATATACCACCGAGGGGTCACGTTACACCTTATCTTAACAATCACAACCTCCTAAAAATGAAGTCACGTCGTAAGCTCCACCTAGCTTGTCTTCTTTTCGGCGTAATCAAAAATAAGTGTCCCTCGTACTTGCACTCAAAATTATCCTGGGTTGGTGCTCACCGAGAGCGGGAGGCTAGGCAGTGTGCACAGCATCTAGCTATACCTCAACATAAAACAGCAGCATTTCGAGGCAGTTTTCGGTACGCAGCGTCCAAATGTTGGAACAATATACCTCCACCAATCAGAGACTCACCAAGTATAAATAGTTTCAAATACAATCTTAAAATGTTTATTTTAACTTCACAAAAAGACAAGGCTGCAATTAATGTTGATCTGTCTATCATTTAACTCTAGCCAGTTTAGTGTATGAATGATACAGAACGCAGACATACTGGCTGTTCTATGTCCTTCGTTGTGTCATGTGTACTATTTATTAACATTTTACTTTTTATTTTTATTTTATTTTACATTACTTTTTATATTTATTACATTGATAAGTATACCATTGTTGTATCTGCATACTTATTGCATATATATGTGTGTATGTGTGTATATGTATGTATATGTATATGTGTGTGTGTATGTATATGTGTGTGTGGTGGGTGTGCAGATGCATTATTATATATGTATATAATATATATATATATATTTTCTTGTTGTCTTTGTCTAACCATTCAACGTTGCTACCATCCGTGCGTCACTGCATGGGTGCCCACTGAAAATCAGTGCTGGGTAACCTGTATGCCTGGCTTACACTGAGTGGGTCACCCTTTTAGCATAGGCATGTTGTCAGCGTCTCTTTTCTAATTCTTCTGTTTCAATTTTTCAACTCTTATATTTTTATTACTTCCACTGTCACACCTTGATTGTCTTTTTTTTTATTTTATTTATGTATGCTGCATCGTGCCTGGTGCTAAATAAATGTTTTTTCTTTCTTTCTTTCTTTCTTTCAGAATGGTAAGTTGCGATACCATGTATTTAGCCGGTATGCCGTTAACTAAATGTTGGCTTGACTTTTTCAGCCTGTTCGCTGGGACATTTTCAATGTATTCTATAAATGTACCTACTGTATAAGCATGGTTGATTTGATTTTGATTTTCTAATGTGTATGTCGAGAAGTTTCCTTTAATATGTTTTAGTGTTTGTTTAATTATAAGCGAATAAAGTCAAGATATTGTGAAAAAATCGTTCATACTGCGCAGTAAATACCGCATACGTTATATACGTTTCCTGGTCACTGCATTAATAATGTTGGGAAAAATTCACGGTGTATTCTGTTTACGTTAATTAGAGCCTTTTTACCCACTATGAGGGAACATTTTGTGTTTAACTTTTTAAAATACACCAGAGTTTTGTAGAGAATAGCCACGCTTTTATACTACGCTCATTAGGATATGTTCTTTCAGGTTAGACTCGGAAACTGTGGCTTATTATTGTAGTTAACCTCATTATTTTAAATGCAAACCTCTTCTTATTCGTATTCATTTTAAGTAATTTTAAATAGACGAAATATTGCGTACAGTATTGAAATATGTATCAGAGATATTGTAGAACATACTTTTTTTAAAAAGAGTAACGAATGGAGTTTCTTACTCGTTCTTCTCCATTCGAATCTACATTTTGGAATAAGCACCTAGCTTCACCTAGCTGCACTGACGGACTGACTGACAGACTATTATTTATTTTGTATTTGTTGACGTTTCAAAGTACCAAATTATGGTTTAATTGAAATAAATGATTTGGCTTTGACTTTGACTTGATTTTATTTTTTAACCGGAGATTATAATCGAATGACTTCTCCCGCCTGGGTGAGTCGAGAGGGAGCGTTAGACTCTTACTTATTGACAACCACCCTGCCCCAGTACCTTTTTATGTTCTCCGCGGGCCCTATCCGTAGTGGTCTGATGGCTCTTTACAAGTACACGATATTAGTTATGAAATTACCTCCTCTACATAGGCTATAAGATCCCCTATGCTACCATTATGTTTAGTTTCAACAGAGAGCACTGCTGCCCAGTCTTTATCAAATATGTAGTCTGTAGAGTTATCAAGTCGAATTCTTTTCAAACCCGTGAAAGGAGTATGAGGATATTAACAATTCTGCTCTGTACTCGTCATGTCATACGGTATGCCCATGAACATATTACTAAGGCTAGGGATTCACGACGCGATTTTCTCCTGCGTAGCGGAATGGCGATTTATTTTCAGAACTCACTAGACCGCACTTTTCTGCAGTCCTGTAGCCTACGTGGTTGCGATTATCGCCCGCAAACTTCTAGCGATAGCTTATGATTATCGAGTCTTTCGGTAATGTAAATGTTTTCGGTTAAACAATAAGTTGAGTTCCAGACCAGCCATCCACTTGGACCAAGCGTGCGGGTGCAGGATTGCAGCGGCTGCGGTCGTGAAATGTGCATTAATTGTTTCCATACATATCTGTAGAGGGCGCGGTAGCATAACCGCTTCATGAGTCCTTAGCCTAAGTTTAGGAGGCGATAATAAAATGTTAGTACCAATATAAAACTACAATAAAAACTATGATTTAAATTTCAATGCGAAAGACGAAATGTCATCTAAATAATTCATAATATCATGTAACAATGGGCATAATTCTAGACCCCGTTCCATTATCAAATTTAAAAAAAAACGCAATATCTCAATGTTACATTACCTGACTCGGGAATCAGAAGGAAACAAAGTCAGTCATTATTTATATCTTGTCTAAATAAAATATTCCTTAACCGATCTCAAAATTTCATAAAATAATTCAATCAGTTCCGAGACGAGGGTCCATGGGGTATGCAATGAATGCAATAGTAACATTTCATCCGGGATCTCTTATGAATAAAAGATGCGATGAAATATTTATTTTTTCAACATGAAGATACCCTTTGCTATGTCCAACGACAAGAAACAAAATGTTCTTTGTTTTAAGAAGATTTGTTATAGTCTGACAACATGGTCTAGTAGTAGTGATAGTCTTTAGTGGTAGTCGTTAGACAAACGGTATTAGACTATAAATACTTTAGACGCTAATCGAACGAGTGAATAAAAAAATATATGTATGGATGGGCCTGACATTGGTTTTGACAATAAAAGCATGATTTATCCAATTTAGTATGGATTAGTTTCATTCAGTATGGATCCGAAACATAGATTTTTCTTTTCGCTCTTGCAACTTGTATTTGATACAAGGCAGAAACAGCTACTAGTTATATCTATATTTCTACTATTGTCAAGTCAAAACAGGAGCAGGCTGCATTTTTTATGGAATAGATGGCAAACGAGCAAACGGGTCACCTGATGCTAAGCGATCGGCGCTGCCCATGGATATCCCCATTTCACATCTATGTGCCGTGTCCAACAGCCAGTCTAATTAAGATTGAGTGTAGTGATCGAAACTGATACGATGGAACATAACTCAACGGTTCTTATTACTGAGTATAACAGCCAGGACTCCTAGTGGATAGGACAATACAGAATACAGATAGTATTTCTATGTAAAATAGCTATTGAGATCAGAGCTGACCAAAACTATAATGGTAAAAGGTCAGTTGGTTGTTCGTGGTGTATGTTAATTACGACTGACCTCATCTCAACCATATTTTATTAATGGAAATATGGAAAACATGTACCACAGGTTTACTTATTTTAATGGACATCGTTTGACGTCATTCTATCTACGCTTTTAATGTAGGGAAAAGCTTGGTTGACACCAAATGATACCTATTCATAACATCGGCCATATTTACATCTCATGTTTCAGTAAATCTGCCGCCAGATTTCATGAATGTATTCCATTCCTATTTTTGTCTGTTTCACACTGCAGTGTTGGGAAATGTTTTATGAAAATTAATTTTGTATTCTTTCGTTCATATCAGGATCATCAACAGCCGGAAGACGTCTACTGCTGGACAAAGGCCTCCCCCTTAGCCCTCCACGTCGAACGACAACTCGCCACCCGCATCCACTGGCTCCCCGCAACTCAGTATCAGGATACCGTTGCATCAATATCCACACCTTCAGTTTTAACGTAGTGTAACTTAAATTTGGACGCGATTTTAACATAAATGATGTTTTTGTGAAGATATGTAGTACGTCAGGTTTCGACCAATAAATGAAAGATTTTAATAAGAAGCTAAATAATATGGAGTAGGTACTTACCGGCACTGGTTTGTTGCGTTCATCGACGAGTGTGTCGGTAACGGATATTTGGCCATCTGTGACCACTATCTGGAGGCCAAGTCGGTAGACCCCGAGCACACGGGGTGCGCCCCAGCGGACTCGAGTCAACAGGTGAAGAGTTACCACCTCGCCCGGATCGATGGGTCGAACCACCACCCACTCGAAGCGCTGAGGACAAAATAAGTAAATTAATTAAGTATACAACTAACGTATATAACATCGTTCAGTCAGCCGTGCATTAATGCAGCGCACTGCGCATTCAATATAATAACGCCTTCAGGACGCTGTTGAGGCTTCCACCTTACTGTAGTGCGTCAGGTATGTTCGCGTATGCGCACACTGATGATTATTTCGAGATCATGCGCAAAAAAGTGGCATCAGTGTTGCGCAGTCTGAGGGAGAGCAGCAACGGCGTTCTGAGGGTGTTTGCAGAAAGGCTAGAAGAGCCTACAATAGATAGATTTATCAAGCTGCATGTCAGACGTGGGGCTTGATAATGCTTCTAATAATAATCTGTCCACCTTACTGTAGTGCGTCAGGTATGTTCGCGGATGCGCACACTGATGATTATTTCGCGATCATGCGCAAAAAAGTGGCGTCAGTGTTGCGCAGACTGAGGGAGAGCAGCAACGGCGTTCTGAGGGTGTTTGCAGAAAGGCTAGAAGGGCCTACAATAGATAGATTTATCAAGCTGCATGTCAGACGTGGGGCTTGATAATGCTTCTAATAATAATCTGTTCTGTATTTGTATTTGTGTATGTATTATTTTATTATTGTATTTTTGTACTCGTGTGTTACTACTAACATAGTTTTTAAGTTTGTTCTGTTTACTAACACTCTATGGGCCGTCGACGCATGAAAGTAAAAGATTTTTATTTTTTATTTTATTAATAGGTTTTGACCTTTAAAGATCTTTGATCGTTAACAGATTAGTGTAAAATACTGACATCCATTCAATGGGAGAAGGTCTAAATACGGCCTCGGCTGCACTAGGGTCGAACCGCGTTTTCCCGCCCTAGTGCGATTCGTGTCTTAAAAAAGCTATCCGAAAGAAAACCCATTTTGCACATAATACAGTTTATATCTTTCTACCTAGCTCTTTATAAGATACAAACAGTGAACTGCAAGCATCGGTCCCACAGCTTTAGGTGGACCAAAGATATATACATGCGTCTCGAATTTTTGAGTTCGTTGTTCTCAGGACATTTTCACTACAAGTAGGTAAGAGAGGAATTCTACCCTCAGTGTAGAATCGTCTAACGGAGCCAGAATAAACATTTAACCGCTTGGTTTGAATAATACGTATATGCGAGCTAATTAATTGTGCAAATGTTTGTGTTATTAATTAACAGACGTACTGTGTATTTAGATGATTTTGTCGCAAACTGTTAAAAAGCAGTTGGATTTCATGCTGACTCAGTCAAGTTGCTTGTGGTCGGTAGCATAAGTGCCAGGTTCCTTGTGTTTGACTTCGCAGACATTAAAAGTATCCCCTTGTTTGTTTATCGATTCGCACAAGAATAAGTATGGTTAGATTTGACCCTATTTTGTGAGGATGAGAAATCAGTAACTGCTCCAGCGCTGTTCATAATATTAAACAGACACTTTTAGTATATAACTGACACTTTTAGTGTTGAAAGTGTTCCTGACAATATTAAAACACAACAAATCAATAACGTACTCCGACCATAATTTAATATTATAAATACGTATGTCCGTTTGTTTGTAGCCTCTTTAAAATTTACCTACTTTACCTAGTACTAGTAGCCCGTCCCGGCTTCGCACGAGGCACTAGACAATTATTTATTTTTGGAAATTTGGATTGTTGTAGTGACTACCTCTACAATAGTTGGACATATGCTGCCGCGGAGTTTTTTGTAGACATTATGTTGTAACTATGTTCTTCAATATCGTTGTACATTATTTTGTTCTATCGCTAATAGTTTCGGCAGCGCATTCGACGAAAGACATTTTAAGACTCATTTTTCTACACCTTCGGTTACATTGTTCAAATTTTACCAAGGGTTTATTTTTTTTCAAAATGAAATGTAGCCTATGTCAAATTGAAAGAATGAAGCATTCTATTGGTGAAAAAATGTTTTAAATCGGACCAGTACTTTTTGAGCCTATTCATTACAAACATACAAAAATAGGTACAAATCTTTCCTCTTTATAATATTAGTATAGATGTATCTACTTTGATATTTGCATAGTTGCAAGTGCAGAAACGCAGGCTAATTCTAAGCTATAGAATAAACAGGCTTCATTTAAACTATACTATTCATAGCTAAAGAGATCATGAACTCAGTTTGAAAATAACCAATATTATTTTACAACCACTGGGAAAGCCGGTGTACGTGATGTTCCGATGCGCACCGTTGTGACCGCTGTGTGACCCTAGATATACATATATATATATGCTTCGTGCTCCAATGCAGTCCAGTATGTGTATTTTATTTAATACAATAAATGTTTATTCATCATCAACAGCCTATAAATGCCCACTGCTGAGCAAAGCCTCTTCTCACACGGAGAAGGTTAGAGCATTAATCACCACGCTTGCTCAATGCGGGTTGGCGATTTCAAACTTATAATTAGAAATTATAAGTTCAGGTTTCCTCACGATGTTTTTCCTTCACCGTTTGTCAGTGGTGTCTAAATAATCTTAGAAAGTACATATAACTCGGAAAAAGTCACATTGGTACTTGCCGTTGGTAGGTTTCGAACCCGCACCCTCATGCATGAGAAGTGGGCGTCTTAAACCTCCAGGCCACCACGACATCGAAATGTTTATTACCTATCCAGTTTTATATAGAGAAAATGATGCGCCGATTTTTTGCCTACAGTGCCGTTTTGACAGTGTCTAAAATAGCATGTAAGATCTGTCGTATTTATAAAGATGCAGCTACACTAATCCAGTAGCTTTCGTGTGTAAACGTCACAAATATACATACACAAACACAAATGTTTCCTGTTTATAATATTTGAGTAATAATATGTATAATTGAAGACCTTTTTTGGACAAAAACAGTTTAAATTCATTAACTTAAATGCAAAATCCAATTTAAAATCGATTTAAAGGAAAAGAATACCCACCGAGTGGAAAACCTTTCAGTCGCAGTTATTCGAACATTTAGTCAGAAAAATATGTCAGTACCTATCATCTATTTTAGCGCAATCCTTATACACTCCTAATATAGGTATTATCCAATACTTTATTTTTATTTTTAACCGACTTCAAAAAGAAAAGCGCTTTCTCAGTTTCACCTGTGTGTATATGTATGTATATATGTGCGCGATTATAGACGTTTGGATTAACCAATTTTGATCAGATTTTCAAAAAATTATTTGGTAAACATAGGAGAAGGTTTCAGTATATTAATTGCACGACTTCAACAAAATAGGGGGTTGAATTTGTTTTTAAACGAAGTTTAGAAAAGAATTTTAGTAAATGTATTTCTTTTCCTTTTCCTTACTCTGTCCCCTTTTCCTTATAGACAATTGTTATGAAAAACGATCTCCCTAACACTGTAACATTGTTTACATTGTCTCCTCAGCATTTTGTATACAAATCACGTTTGTGACGGACTCTAAGAATAATTACGACCGTTATTAGCTGTCCCGAGGCAATGCCTGGCGAAACAAAATTCATTTTGAACCCCCAAAGTTCGAATTTGAAGAGAAGTCTTGCAAATTACAATACTTATAGACGGCTAATGTTGTAAATTGTGTTAGCTTGTTAAGGTATCGCTTTATTCGTCAAATTGTTAGTTATTTACGTAGAGATTTTATGCTGGAACTAGAATAAGTGTTCATATTTATTAAATCATAAACTTTAAAGGTGGGTTTTACCAGTAGGTCATTGTGTAAAGTGAAAGGAGTTACCTACTACATTGAATCCTAGTTAATTGATTTGCACTGGATTAAAACTAAATCAATATCACTCTGAGAATCATACCAAAAATACATAATTATGAAGTCTTTCATAAATAAAAAGAAATATATAAGAACATGCAAATTGAATATCTATTATTATCTAAACGGGTACAATAACAAACTACAATTTTATTGTATTACGTGAGTAAATTTATACATAATACATTACACACACACCAATAGCCTATATGTGGCCACTGTTGACCAAAGGCCTCTTCTCTCTCTGAGAAGGTTTGAGCATTAATGATCACGCTTGCTCAATGGGGGTTAGCGATTTCAAACTTATAATTACAAATTATAAGCCCAGGTTTCCTCACGGTGTTTTCCTTCACCGTCAGTGGTGTCAGTGGTGTCTAAATAATCTTAGAAAGTACATTTATCTAACTCGAAAAACGTCACATTGGTGCTTGCCGTTGGTATGATTTGAACACGCACCCTCATACATAAGAAGCGGGCGTCTTAGACCTCCTCCAGATATTTTATATAATAATATTATTCACTAAGCGGAATATTCTTCCGACTACAAATGTAATGGACTCTTCTGTGAGTTAAAATACTGTTGAAAAGTAACAAAAAACTTAAACAAACTTTTGCATTAAAATGCTTTTCAAGTTTCCATTCGGTTGCAGCGCTACCTCATTATTTCAGGTTTAGAAATACATCATACCTAGACTTTGTAGCTTACATTTTTGAAACTACGTCGTAAATAGGACAAGCTTACAGACAGATGCGAAAACCAATCAGCTCATAGAGATTGCGAAGTGTAATTATGAGTTACAGTTTTAGGAAGCTGTATATTTGAGTCAATAGAAACATAGGGCTTACGCTCGAATTCTCAAAGGCTTCTTCTCAATTTTAAGTTATACTTACCTATATATCATGCCATCTGTCATTGTACAAACAATTTGTAGTGACAGAACTGTTGAAAATCATCCCCTAAATTTCTTCATACAAAAGTAGTCTCTAAACATCGGAAATAAGGTCTATAATATAGTTAGTGAAGAGCGGTCACCGGTGACCGCTTGGAGATAAATGGGTGCGCGGCTTAAAATTTAGTTGTGTTGGAGTATTTGAACATTTGTCACGTAAAATTATCGAGAAATGCTTTACTAGTTTCAAGTCACACTTGACAATACATGAGGGTACATGACAAGTTGCCACCAGCCATTGAAGGATGAGTTATACCAATCTTTCGGTTTTGGCTGCTACAGTAAACATTTTATGTATACATA